CTGATGTAATGAATCAAATGAGGGAATCCAACTTCTCTCCCCACCCCCAGTCAGACTAGGTTTAGCTACGATCAAGTCCCCCACTCTTGTTCTCTGTGGTTAAGTCACAAGAACGCTTCTGCCAAACGAGCAACAGCCTCAGAAAGGGCAAAGACAGCAGAATGCCTCTTCCATCACCAGTCAGAGAGGCTGTGCAGCTAGAGTGTGACTGTGGAATTACAGTGTAATGGTTACCCAGTGTGCCAGCAGCAAACCGGCACCCCTGCACTCATCTGCAGACATTTTATCAAGGCAGGACCTGATGACTACCTCATGAGCAACTGCACCAAACCCCATAATGACATTTCTTAATGGGTCCTTTCAGAATAAACCAAATATATCTGTGATTACAGTTTTCCTATCATCTTATGTAGTACCTACACAAGGAAGTCTGCTTGGTAACACTTCTGGCTTGCTTCATACCAAGCACGATAAACAGTATTAGCTGTAACAAAACTTTTCATAATTTAAATCTATTTTTTTTTTCTCAACAGAATGAACAAAGGATGTAGAGAATGCAGGGTGTGCTGCCTCATAACCATTGCTTCCTTTAGAGTAAACACAAAGATCAACAGTTGCTTTAAACTAGTTTGAGCTAAAGCAGGAAGAGTATTGATTGGAAAAAAAGTGAAAGGACCTCCTTCCCATCCATTACAATTTCTTTTCACTTTTGAGAAGACCTTTTCAGCTTTCTCCCTTTCAGCATTATTCAGAACCTGAACTGTATTCCTGTGCTTTTGCTTGAAGTCCACACGCCCATGTCCCCACAAGGAATTTCTCAAGCTACAGATTAAGGAAGCAAACTGCTGCCCACTTACCTTCAAAAATTCTAACTCTGTCTCTTTTTCAGATGCACCTACGTAAGCACTATGCAATTTTGGCAGCTCTTCCTTGATGTAGGACACATCTAGTTTCTCCATCACTCTAGCTGGGACATAGTGTTCTAGTCTGAAATATGACATGCCATGCACCTAGAACAGAAAACATTTTTGTGATGGCATCTCCATATACAACTCCATGAGCACGAATGAAGCATAAACATGGTTCAACATGAGATGGTTCAACACCCAGATCTTGAACTAGATTCTGCAATAGCCCTCTGCTAGACTAAAAGAAAACTTGCCCACAGAAAAAACTGCCAACAGCATATCAGCTGAGCTATCAGTCCAGGGCAGAGCTGTGAAGCGTGTGTGGCAGCTCGCAGTCCATTCGTTAATTAAGCAGTAAGAATGCGGTTTCTCCAAGGTGAAAGTGATAGTGTACCTCTGCTTGGTAATCTCCATACTCAGCTTGGAGAGCTAGGGATGCTAATAATAAGGCTGTCTCATCATCACAGTGCATCCTGTCTTCCAAGATGTCCTTCCGCAACTGAAGATAATACTGGTGACAGGTCAGCGTATGCCTAGAACAGGAGAACAACACAAAAAACACAAAGAAATCCCACACCATCTTTGGTACTCTTCCTGTTATAGGATATTTCCAGTATTTGATTAATACCCAATTTCTGTCCATAAATTTAGGGCTTAAGGGGTCAAAAAAAAATTTTCATACACTCACTGTATAAGACTGACATCATCCACATAAAACTTTATGCGAAAAAACAGAGTGAAGTTGACAGGGGGCTTGTTCTTTTTCTTCGGTTCTTCTTTCCATCCTTCTGGAGCTACTTTACTTAGCTTGATGTCAGGATCAACGAAGAAAAATTCATTGTCTGCCATGAATGTTGAACGGAAGCACATGGATAAAAACATTAAAATCAAATATTTTCTCCAGCTGAAGGATAAAGCCCAGATTTACAATTCTGAAATTTGGTTTTGAATAGCAAGGCTTTCTGTTGACTAACAATGGCTTATGAGCACAATAGCTATTAAAGGGAACACTGAATAAGGGCAGAAGAAATAATTTTAGTTATCCTGAAGATAGTAGTGGGGGAAAAAAGAAAAGTTACCTTCTGTGATAGCTACAAAATAAGACCTAGGACTTCTTTAAAATTTCAAATTTCTTATCCCATAGGAAATCCAAAAATCTGTCATTCCTTCCCTCCCTTAGTACTTCTGCCCCATTTACACTCCTGCAAAATGTTTTCAAGGCTTTCTAATTACCAGGAGTCTGCCATGGGGAGAATAAGCTCTTGGACTGCCAAGGGCTTCTATCTCGCACCAATATTCTGAGTGCTACAATTCTGCAACAGCCTGAGAGATATGCCAACAGGAAACTAGGGTCTGAACACATCAGTTCTGCCACAGTGACCTTCTACCCATTAGGAGAAAAACAAAAAAAAGTCCAACTTCTACTCTGCTCTAAAAGTGAAAAATTAACAGCTCAGGAGCAATTATGTTTTTTCTTAAGGCAACTCCCTCTACACAAGGGGCCTTCCTATGCATCCCAATGCACCTGCCTCCAGGAGAGCCTGCAACATTGCCTAGGGCATAACAACAAAACCAAAGCCCCTTCATGTCCTCTGAGGGGTGCTGGTCAGAGCAAAGGCAACAAACAGAAGAGAAGAAACTCAGCAACCAAAGGAAGAAGGCTGCCCAAGACCAGCTGCCATTACTCAGGCAAACGTAGAATTTTATTGTGCAAAGTTATTCTCCATCGAGGAATGTACTTTGCCTCAATAAAAGAGAGCATAACTCAAAGAAAATGCTTTGTAGATGCCAGACAGCTTCTGCTTATGTTTTCTCAACACCATGTGGTTAATTCTTCTTATTCTGTACCTGGCAACTACATCGAATCATTATTCTTACCTCTTAAAGTAGCCAATCCAAACAAGTGATGCTCCACCAAGCCAATATGGGCAACGACCATATCAAAGACATCTTTACATATCGTTTTGGTATCACAGGTCAGCTCCAGCTTCTGCCCACTGAGAAGCATCACATTTACTTTTCGCCTGGTGTCATCATTCTTCCCTTTCTTAGTCTGTGTTTTGTGAAATAAAACATCCCAACATTGACACTTGTGATACAGGCACATTTGTTGGTTTAACATACCTCCCTGTCAGTCATTGCCGAATAGTCCCTTTCTTACCAAGATAGACTTTGGGAGATCCAAGGAAACGAATGGTTCAATCGTCATTTTCACGAACTCGGGGCCAAAGAAATTCTGCAAATCACAAGAGTATGAATGAACACTGTGTTGCTAGAAGAACAGACTGAGGTACAGTTAACTCCTGCCCTGCAAATGTCAAAAAGGAATGAAAGGCTGAAAGGAAAAAATTGTACTGAATTCCTCCCAAGAGCTGGTAAGTCTGAAGAACCTGGTTTTGCCAGCATGCGTGCCAGATACCACTGGCAAGCTACAGTGTTGTGACATTATTACCGTGCGTATTTTCTTTCCTTTGCTGGGCAAAAAGCCAACACTCTAATTTTATTTGTCTTCCTTTAAAATACAGGGTGTGGGTTGCATATTGGGACCATCTGGGCTTGTCTCAGTAAGCAACTGCCCAATATTACTAAGGTTTTCCTCATTGGTCGCAATTCCGCCTTGACAAACCTCTGCCTGGGACACACAAGTCTCATCTCCTGAAGACTGAAATGTTTCAGCCTAATTCTATCTGCTTGGTTCAAGTAGAGATCCTGGCCAATTTCTATCTGCCCGTAGACAAAAAAACGTTCTACTAATTCAGTCTGTAAATTATAGGAGGTTACCTGTCCAAAGTGTAAAAGGAAGCCCTCTGCACAATACCCACTTCAATACCATATTAAAAAAAAGTGGCCCAAGATTTACTTTTTAAGGGAAAACCTTCATTGGCTACTGCCTACTACCTACTGTGTACTATATGTAAAACATCTGCACATAAACCTCTTAAGGGCTGGGGAGGAACCAACCTGGCTTGTTAAAGCCGACATGAACTAACTGGTCAGAATACTATGGACTGGAGACAGATACAGGAACTATTACCCTGGCTTAGGACAGCAAATTCACCTAAGTCTTGTTTCAAGTTTTCCTGTCCTTAAAAAACATTTAAATAATAAACCCATTCAATTGACTGAAAGCAGCAGAGGGCACCAAGTCATCATCTCTTTTAAACATCATCCACTCTATTTACCTATACCTCTGTCTCCCTCTTTCTCTGTAATCTTATATTTCATCCACATACCAAGACAGCTAGGAAAGGAAAGGAGATTTTTCACAGTGATTCAGGGTGAACACAAGGGCCAAAGGAATCCTCTCTGCCTTTCTTTACCTTCCCAACTTGTTCTTTTAATAATCTTTGATGCTGGTGAGACACATCCATGTTCCACCAAGAAAAATAAATGCAAATCAAAGTGGTTGAAAACACCACAGAATACAGGAAAAAACTACACCTTACCTTTGTTACAATGCTATATTGTTTAATCGATGCCATCTTTAGTCAAGGCTCGCTGTCTATGTTAACATCTCTTGATACTGCTTTAGGCTACATAGCCACTAATGCCACAAACCTCTGCATTTTACCCTGTAAGAGCAGGTCTTTCCTATCAGGGCAAAACCAAACGCTTCGTATTTAATCTATTGATGACTGTTTATTAAAAGACCCAGTTCATGAATCCCACATACTAGAGTTTCAGTCAAGACACTGCTCTGTTTCAATGAAAATACGAGTTCACCTGAGATCAGGGCATTACCCTCAGTTTTCTTTGTGTCATGGCTGTTTCCAGGGCTATTTCTCTCAGAGGATCTCTGGTGATGTCAAGCATTGACGACCTAATTGCATCTCCTGGGTAGAGGTTAGGCCGGGACTGCCTGAGAGCCATTCTAGCTTGCAATTGCATCATTTCTTCTTCCTGACGCTTTAACATCACTTCTTGACTTATTAGATTGGCTTCAAATGGTGCTTCATGTTGCCTGCGGTATAGTCAGAGGAGATGACAAGACATCAGTAGGTATGCCTAATAAATCCTGCTGCTTTAAGCACTTACCTAAGTGGAAACCCAGAACACAGAAACCAGTTATCAAATACTACATTAAACACAACATTTATTCAGTAGCCAGTAGGTTAGCGCTCTACCGCAACCCACAATGTAGAAAACGAGCAAACATGCCAAGTTTCTACAACTGCCTGTCATTTATCCATATGAAAACAAAGGCTCAGCTGCAGTCTAAAAAATACTTGACACTACAAACCCAGTGAATCAGTACAAAACAGGAGGAAGAATATTCATGCTTTGAAAAATATCTTAATTTCTCTGTTCAAGCAGGGACTGTGAAAAAGGCATGCTCAAAAACATGCTGTTAAAGAAAAAACTAAAACAATAGTGTACTTTTTATATGAGCAAATATTACTCCAATCACTTTCTCTATAGCAATTCTTTATGAACTCTTTGCGCAACTCTTATTTATTCCCTACTGTTATTTATCAACATCCTATAGGCTAAATTATTCTAAATATCATACTCTAATGTTTTCATCATCTTATTTTGCTGAAAAAAAAAATTACTCTCTCCTTTTAAATTTCTAAGAATGGCTTGGTTGATACACAGTCACTAAAAAAAAAAAAAAAAGAAATTAATAATACGAAGGAAAAAAAAAAAAAGAAAAAAGAAACAAAAAACCCCATCAGTATTTCTGAAAAACACAGCAACCTATCCTCCAGTTCTTTTCTCAACAAGTATGGATCCCAAATGTCCTACCAATTTTATTCTCTATGGAAGGAAAGAAATCCATGTCCCATTTTAGGTGAACAAAAGCCATTTTTTATTTGAAAATCAGGAGGAAATGCAAAGAAGGAAGAAATCCAACAAAAATAAAACTAAACTTCCCTGTGTCCCACACTTACAGAAAAACACCTTTAAACCTCAAACTAAATATAAAACAATCAAACCTTCTTCAGAAATCCTAAACCAAGAAAACCCAACGTTCTCTCTCTGTTAACATAATTACACAGAGGCAATTTTTAAACACAAATGAACAAGGGAAACTACCAAGACTTTCATCCACCAAAAAACACCAGCAATTCTAAGCTAAGTGTTAGTTTAGAAGGTATGCTGGAGTAATGAAAAACATGAAAGAGGAAAGAAAGTGTTTTGAAGCCTGCATATCATTGCACTGAAGTTCAGGAATACAAACAAATGCAGAGTTAGTCCTGCACTGACATTGATGTACAGCCTTTGTAGTAAAAGGTAATCTACAGACTTCTAAAGACAATAAATTTATATACCTACTTTTTAAAAGGACCTAAAGGACCAGTTGTCAATGATAATTGGTGGACATCATTTCATTTTTTTCTTTGTCTTTTTACAGCAAGGTTTCTAATGAATGCCACCAGTGCGAAGAGTGCACTGCAATCTCTTAATTCTTTCTAATACTAAAGTTTCGTTGGTTATCATGAGAGTCCAAACAACAAAACGCCATTAACGTGTCCCACACTGAGCAAAACAATGCTGAAGTTCCTCAAATGGAATTTCGAGGAAGATATAGAGTAGTTACAGAAAGCTGTACTAACGTGAGCCCATTATCCTTTCCATTGTGCAGGGCTTTCAGAGCATCACTTCCCTTCTCCCTCCTCTGTTCCTTTCTGCAACAGAGCTAGTAACGTGCACCTCAAAGAACCAAGTAATGAGACAAGGCCTCAGACCTGCAAAGACTTGTGCCATGCTTAGCTTTCCAGCAAGAGGAAGCTTATTGAGATTGACATATGTGGGAACATTCACAATGAATTAGCTTAAATACACCCACCAGCACCCTTCAGATCAAGGTCTGAGGATGGGCTCTGAAATAAAGCAAAACCAAACACTTTCTGAACATAAATATCTATGAATTGTCAAAGATGATATGAAAAAGATAGACGTGTTGCAACTGGCTGTATTTGAAAACATTTGCTAATGTGAAAACTCCTACTGCAGAAAAAAATCTTGTCTTTTTAATAACAACTCTGTGCAATAGAAGCAATCATAAGTTACTGTGTAAAGTATTATCATTATATTGGTTTATCATCTTCATTGACATGTATTAGTTTCTCTGAAAACTGGGATGGGCATGGGGTGTCCAGGGAGAAAACTCAAAAACCTAATGGTTTAAAAATTTTCCTAACTTAGTATATAAGCCCTGTCAGCAACCAGAAATCAGCACACTTCAGCATCCCGGGTCAGTAAAACTAACTCGGTGTCGGTGAGGCTGTCCATTTTCTACAGAGGGTAGAAGCATGATTCACTCTCTATGTTCCAAGACAAGGAACGCAGCCCATTCCACAGAAAAGGAGACGCTGTTGACAGATACAGGTAGAGCTCTTCCATGAAGTTCAGAACATGCAAGTATAATAACTCCAACGACAACAAAAAAACCAACAAATTACATTCCTGACAGATAACATCATAAAAGTGTGTTTCCTATGGTACTCAGGAGACAAGTACTTGGCTGCTACTCTGTATTTTCATCAATGTCTGACAGCAAACCAGAACCTCACAGTTACTTATTAACCTGGAGACTGTAGGGGAGCAGTCACCTGGAAGATTGACTCCTATAAAAGAGGGAAGTGAATTAACTTCTCATCTAGTGTACTTACCAAGAAATTAGCAGGTACTGGGTCAGAGAAGGAAGCTGGAAGAAGGGAAGCAGGTAGGCATTCTCTAATGATTAGTGCAGTGGAAAGGTCAGGAATAGATTGAGAAAGACGAATGCCTTTTGGTAAGGTAGGAAGGATATGGAAATGAAACCTAGTGGAAGGAAAAGGCAACAGAAGGAAGAGATCCGTGTCAGTTGCTGCTCCTAGAGAGAAAAAGGAAGAAATAGTAAAGGAAGGGGGAAAAAAAAGGACAAAATAAAGGACAAAAATAAGGAATAAAAGAAGCAAAGAGGAAACACAGCACAAGCATCCATTGCCACGAGGAAAGCATTCCAAGTTTAAAGGATAACAACAGCCACAGACCATGAGAACAGAAGGCCAGCCTGCCCAAACAGCACAAGTTATGCTGGCTGATAACTGAACTGCTTCACTGTTTTTTTCTCAATACTGGCAGCAGACTCCCTCAAATCCAAATCCCCCTATTTGACTTATAACTCAGTTTTAGGAGGATAATTCAGTGGATAATTAAGCAGACTGCCTCTAAGGACATGCCACAGGAGCAGTAAATTTAATATGTACTGAAGTACAGGGGGTGCCTCTGAACACAGAGACAAACAGTGACACATGCTGCCAAGTGCTGATGTGACTGAAGTAATGGATTAAATTCCATATACTTCCCCAAACCCTGAAATCAAACAACCAGCCAAAAAAACGTAAACACTGAGAATCTGCTCTTTGGAACTACTTGTTATCGAGAGTTTTACTTTGAGAGCTTATGTTTCTGAAGTCATAAGAGACACGGTCTTCTGTAACACAGGACATTTTAAAGCAGCATCATACAATGTTCTGCATAAAAATATGAAGTTACTTTCTTAGAAATCTCCCTGCTTAACTAGCTACCATCTTTGATGGTATTCCTTTTTACAGTTGTTTGCACTGGAAAGTTTTAACAGCTGTTGGAGAAAGACAGAGAGAGAGAGAGAGCACACACTATTTTCTATTCAGCTCACACAATTAACACAGGTATTATGTAAGTCTTGTTTTAGGACCAAATTCTGCTTGTGGCTGCTTTCTTGTTTCTCAATGGGTCTACGAAAAAAGTCAGTAAAACTAGTTTTCAGGAGTTCAGCCTCATTCTTCCATCTTGGATATACTTACCAGTCTGGTACTTAGATAAACGGGGGAAAAAAAGGCTTTTTGATCTTATGAAAATGAGGGAACAATTAAGAAAATTAGTAAAGAACTACCTGTGGTACCCTACCACGATATTTTTGTGCAGAGTGGTATCTTCTAGCAAAGGCACAGAGGGGAGGCCAAGCAGAAACAGGAGATTCAAAAAAAATACTAAGCCTTGAAGTAAGACTGTAGAGTCATAGAACCATAGAATGGTTAGGGTTGGAAGGGACCTCAAAGATCATCGAGTTCCAACTCCCCTGCCATGGGCAGGGAAACCCTCCACTACACCAGGTTGCTCAAAGCCTCATCCAACCTGGCCTTGAACACTTCCAGGGACGGGGCATCCACAACTTCTCTGGGCAACCGGTTCCAGTACCTCACCACCCTCAATGTAAAGAATTTCTTTCTTATATCTAACCTAAATCTGCCCTCTTTCAGTTTAAATCTATTGCCCCTTGTCTTATCACTACGCACCCTTGTGTAAAGTCACATACATGTAAAATTCATTTCGTTGCTAAGGACAACAGGTAAGTCTATGCTGCACTTGCAGAACAATATTCTTCTTCCAGATTTCACACATATATAAACTATGTCCATTACAGGCACCAGTCTTAACAGAGCAATATAAAGTCAAATAATGTAAAACAATCCATGAGAAAGTATGTGCTGTTTTACCGCAGCATTTTCACTTGCATAATAGGCCTGATTAATTTGCAACAACATGACTCATTTACATACCATATACTGCTTTCAGTTTCTGAAACATTTTGTAAATAGAAACACAAGTTCTCTATCAGCATCTGCAAATTACTGCTGTTTCATTCTGAAGCACAGCTACAGCGTTGAACTGGAAGCCTTCCTGGGTTCCAGTCAAAGAAGAACGAAGGTTGACTTAGCAGTATTCACCAAAAAAAAACCAGCAATGGCAAATGAGCTAAGTTGTACGTTCATTCCGTACACACAGTAGTAACAGCCCACTTTGCTATTTCTGTGTGCTAAGGCAGCATAAAATGCAAAGCAGAAATTTACAGTTCTTTAACGGAGTTATGCAGAACGCGAGTCTGTAACCCGAGTCCTTGAAAACTTGCCCTAAAAGCTCACACACTAGCCAAAATCTTCTTACTTCAAAGACAGGCTAGATGTCTAAGACTGCTTGTACACTGCAGTTTAACACATACGTTCTTACATGAACAGATATCATATTCCTGCCAACAAAGCAGTGTTGACCTGGCTAGGCAACCCCTAAATACTTCTTCCCTTCAAGAAAACCCTATATATATATATGTGTGTGTATATATATGTGTTTGTGTGTGTGCATATATATATACGCGTATGTGTGTGTGTTTTCCTAAATGACTTCGCATTTTTCAGGCCAAGTGCAAGTAGTAAGAAAATCAACGCAGCTGCTCGGCAGATCTCTGGAAGCCGTACGATTTCCAAGTAATTGTTCTCTTGTTCATCTGCACTCAGATCCATTTAAGGCACACAACGCAGTGCAAGAAGCAGACGTTCATTTATTTTCACCCCCACGTTCAAGCCCTAAGCTCTAAGCCCTACTCGCTGCACATCACTCTACACATAGAGGACGTACTTGACAGCCTTGCCACATCACCTGAAACAGCTCCAACCTTCAAACACCTCTAAGTTTCTTTAATAGAATAGAGCAGGATTCCCACCCAGCATGTGCCAAAAATATATAAATATCCTAAAACATTGAGCATGGCAGCAATCTTTCTCCTGATCTACCCCACACAAAGCAAAGAGCTGCCGAGAGAAGGCTTTGTTGTTGTAATGTGGTGAGGTAAGAGAGGGAAAACAAATGTGTCTGCTTTTTTGATTTGCCCTTACTACAAAAATTATTTTAATCCTTTTGATAACATATTCCAAGGTGATTCAGTGTCTGGCAGAGACTAGAAAAAGAAAGTTTTCCATCCAAAAGGTTAAGGTCAATAAAAATTCTCAAACATTTAGAATGGAACCATTTTCAAAACCTAACAGGTAAGGCAAGGTATGCTTCTGCTGTACAAAGATGCTGTATTAAGGCAATGTACAAAGCAGAACTTATTTTTTAAAGCAATATTGATGAACAGCACTTGAAAAAATAAAACCCAAACAGATGAAATATTCAAATACACAGTACAGGAAAATAAATTTTAAAAAGCATAAATTGTTACTGAATTGGCCTGCCTAATCAAACCTGAGGTATTAAAAAAATAAATGAATAAATCCAAACACAATGACACAAAGTAAGAGTTTGCCAGAATAACCAACCAAATGTATGGCTTTTGGCTTATTTCAAAGAAATGAGTATGCTATCATTTCTTTACTAAATAAATACAAAAATATCACAAATTAATATGCAGTAACATCAAGACTTTCCAAAACTTAATTTTAGAGAAATATAATCAAAATAAAAATCAGTAAGTACTTCCAAGCACAACATAGCCCCTGACCTTCTGACAGATACAGCAACTTGATGCAGTACAACCCAGTCTCCACTAAATATGGGAACTGCATTTGGAGTCCTAACTGGTATACTCACCTCTACACCACAGTGCATCAGGAGACTTTTACTCCAGACTGCAATATGTAACTCTGAAATGCTCTTTTCTTTCAAGTATAACACACCATTTTTTAACTTCAAACAGAAGCTGGGATGGGAGTGAAAAACTTACTTGCAGGTTTAGAATACTTTCTTTGATAAAGACAAAGCACTCCAAGACATATTGTTTTCACAGGGTTTACCTTGCCCTCTGAGAATTAGCTTGACTTGATGTGGAGATATCGTCAGCACCTGGCAAAGCACCACTGGCATCATCTCTCTTGAAACCTTCATTTCTTCTCACTAGCAAACCAAGAGACAAATTAATACCTGACTGGGCAACAAAGTACCCAGGTAATCCCGTCTAAAAATCAAGGACTTGTGAGTCATATGAGATGACTTAGAAGGAATGGCATTGTGTTCTGCACAACGCACCACAGTATTAGACAAAACAGCATTATGAAGCTGATTTCAGTTTTCAAAGCGATTTCATAGTTTCCTCCAAGGAAGACAGCTGCACTACACAAGACCTTAGAAGAACACCACTAAGGCAGGCCTGAAAGAAACTACAATAAAAAAGTCCACACACAATTGCACAGACACCTTTCCGAGGTGACGCATTTCTTTGGCAGCCATGAGTTGAGACACATACATGGCAGACACATCATACAAAACCACTCCAGAACAGAAACAGAGCAGCTAGGTACAGTAATTATGCATCCAGTTCACAAGAAGGGAGTTAAGAAATCAGTATATATATATTCCTGAGCTCCTGTGTTTAATTTTTGTCCCTGGAATCTGACTCTCCCTTTTAATTTATCAAAAAAAATATTTTTTTTCTTTTGGCAGTATACTAACCTGCTATTCTGTTTGTAACAGTGATCTCCTTTGCTGATACATCTTCCTGAAGCAGCACCTGACATGCTGCACTTAGAGCTTGATTTTGCAAACTACTCCACTGTCATCTCTTACTGTACTCTCGATCAACAGAGCTAGCAGGAGGGCTCTTGCAGAACACATTACAGCCACGCTGACTTAGAAATAGTTCTTTTTGACAGTCATTTCACTGAGCCCAGCAATACTACTAATAGTAGGCAGAAAGCAGCTTTCTCTTGCCTGTACAAACTTAGGAGTTGTTGACTTTGGACTGACACACATAAACAGCCTGTTCTAAATGACAAGAAAATGAAGGGAAACATGTTAAAGGAGTCTTGCTACTTGGTACTGCTCCTTGGGCTTCCGCCTTAGTAAGCAGGAGGACAGACAAAGACAAGGAAGGCTGAGAGCAGGGGAGGCTGGGTTGGAATTCAGTGCATACAGAATACATACGGTTCAGCTATACTTCAGGTTCCTAACTATTGCATGCTTCCTTCATTTTCATCAGATGGTTTGTCTCCACCACTTAAACCAGTCAGCTTTGCAGGATCATTGTGTCAACTGTGCTCTCCTCTTGACTTCTTTTCACCATTCCAGCACAGCATTTCCTTCCATGCTGTGCTTCCACTGTGTAAAGAAAACCCTTCCTGCCATCTACCAGTGAACAACTCTTTGTACCATCTCCTGCTTTTCCAAGCCATTGATTTCAGAGAACTTACTTAAATTTATCATACAAACAGCCTGTACTATGCACTACTTTTGCATTTCACTGAAATCCTTGGCCTACAAATTATCAACCATTTAACCCTCAAAGTAAAATCCACTGATATAAAATAATTAATGTATGTCCATATGAAGCTTTTGTAATTTACTGTTATCGCACACTCACAACTTGATCACTTCTATGCCTCTGAAGACAGCATGTTATTTAAAACAAGCACTCCAGTAAAAAGTTAACCATTTCCAGCTTTTCCTACCAAGTTCCCTTCCAGAGTGCTAAATGTCAAACTCATCTCTGAACAGACTGCCAATTATGCTGAACTGTACACGATGTTGTAATTACATGAGATCATCTTACAACTTCATATTAGCAGTAATTATCGAGACTCCTACTAAAGATTTAACTTCATATTTTCGGGTCTATTTTTCATCTTGAACGTTTTTCTTTTTGGGGTTTTTCATTTGTTTGTTTTTGGTTTTTGGTGGTGGTGTTTTGTGTTGTTTTTTTTTTTAAAACACAGGTCTTACCTTGCCTGAAATCTGGTTCAGAAGAAATGACAGATGGACTTTCACTCGAAGTACTATAAACGTCGCTGTGGTAAGATTTGTACCTTCTCAAGGGCTCTGAAAGTTTAAATCAGGGTAACAGAAGAGTAAGAAAACAACCATTATACCGCAAAAATCAAACACAAATTAACATTTGAAATTTTCTGAAATCTTTTCAAAACATGTTTTAAACGCCTGTCCATGGCTATGGATTCTAAAAACAAGCACGCAGTGGATGCTGTGCAGGCCCATTCTGTCACTGCAGCCTGCCTGAAAAAAATGTCCTAACACAGCCACCTCCTCTGAACTTCTCTCTCATCACCACTTCCATGTTAAAACTAATATTTAAAAAAACAACAACAAAACTCAAGACAAAATCCAATCCCTCCTGCAAACAAAACTGATGAAAACATTTGAGGCACACCTCTTGCGTGTAGAAAGTAACCACCAGGACTCAGTCCCTGGATCCTTCATGATGAAAAAGGAAAATATCCACAGAGACAAAACAGGAACTGGAAAACTATAATTCATTCAGCTCATCTTTGACATCCCCAAAATATGATTAACAATCAATTAATAAGCCCCTACAGGTTATTTAATTAACCAGAACAGCTAAACACATGTGATAAGAAATCGATATAGCAGTCTCAGTTCCTACTCTCAGTGGATTCTTTAAATAACACACTGGAGCAAAGGACTCCACAGAAGGCGTATGTACTTGACATTTGCAACAATCTACTACAACTTTCCTATGCACAAGCCAAACCACCACATTCTGTGCATAAAAGCAGAAAACAAAACAAAAAAAAAGTCCCCACGTTTTGGAACTACCAAGGCTTCACTGTCCAAGCGAGAGAAAACTTCAGGTGTCTTTATTTGCAGAAGGCTGTCTCTGGTGCAACTACAGTTAATGTTTTTGAAAACGAAAGTGCTGATATGGAGAAGACCTATGTAACTACTGCGAAGACATGTGCAAATCACTACAGCCAGGAATATAGAAGGCATGAAAAGATACAAGATAATGCAGCAGACCAAGGATAAAGACTACTTTGTGTTAATTTTGGACTGTTTCCAAAACCTTCCTCCTTAGAAGCCAGTATTTCCCCCATTTCTATCAGCTCACTTGTGCAGTTCCCCACTGTCCCACCAAAGACAAGATTCTTTCAGAAAACTGGAAAAAGTAAGCGAAGTCGCCGACCAACCCATGAAACCAGCTGTTCCTGCCAGCCCATCCCAGTGGCTCTGCTTAGCAGCAAAAAAACCCAGTTAATCCTAAGGACATTCCACATTACTCTCAGAAACGAGCAATACTGCTTGCACATCTGCAAACCAACCACAGTGAGATGGACAGAATTCATTAGGGGGGGGGGGAGGTGGGCTTGTTTCAGTCCTTCAAAATGGCCACTTTCAGTGTTCTGGACTTTACAACAAAGAAATCTACCACCAATCTAGCAATTACCTGCCTAACGAGGGAAATAAAAACCAAGTTCAGTGGGTAGCTTCTGGAGATGTATTTTTTAAAAGCTCCCAGCCCTTTAAGTGAGGCATCAATCCAAACATGATGCTGGAGCTCCAGTACAGAAACATTTAACTGAAAACAGATCTCTCCTTTCCCAGTAGTTTTATTAGCTGTAGGTTTTTCAAATCTGCTAAACTGACTTTGAAGCAAGAGGATGGAAAGGCAACAATAAAACATAACATGAGATTTTAAACAGATTTTTTTTTTTTTCCACCTCGTCAGCAGCCTGGGCTTCCTGAATTGCACACAAATTGTGGTTCCACCCTGGTTCTTCCGAGACATGAAATTTTGCAAAAAATAAATAGAAAGTGGTAAAACAGAAACAAGCAGTTATAACACCAAACAAGTGTTTATATGCGGTGGCATGATATCTGATTCTGCAGGGTATCTACTTCTAGACTCACCCTGTTAGCAGGAGCTGGTGCCCTGCTGTAGGCCAAGGGGTAAGCTCACGAGCCAAGAAACATAAAGCAAGATTCCCAAGCACTGCTTATCTCAGTGTTTTCGCAGACCTCCACACGAGGCCTAGCTAGGTTTAAACCTATTCCCCCAGCAGAGACGGAGACGGGACCACCCTCCTTTCTTATCACATCTTTCTCCCTGAGCAAATCATACTACTTATCCCAATTAATAAAAGCAAAGGTGTTCTTGGCATCTTCTGGAGGCATTTTACAACCTTTCCACACGGGGCTGCAGCAACGACTATCAGCCTGTTCAGCTTAGGGACAAAAGTTTAAAGGCAGTTAAGAAGCTACAGCCTAAAATCCTCTAGATTCTTCCTTGCTTTGCTCAGTTTAGGAACGATGTACACAGATGTGGAACTGTTTGCTGCTGGGGCATCTTCTCTTTGGCAACCACCTTCCAGTTCTCTGCTGGCATGTACACACGTCTATGTACACCCCCTATACATGTAGCACACCTCCTCTTAACCAAACAATCTTTTCCAGGGCATGGACAGGATATGCACTGCAGACCTGTGAACATTCAATTAAATTGTAAATATTGAGCCCACTCTATGTATAACGCTTTGCAAAATTACCAAAATAATTCATGCTGTGTCCTCTCTTCCAACAAATTCTCCTCGGTTCCAACTTATCATATTAGGATTTAAATTTCAGAGAAGGCACTTGGATCCTGTCCAAGCCAAACTTCTAATTAAGAACTGGCTTCCAAAGGTCACAAAGCCCAAATTCTGGGATCAAGTTAAAGTTAAGCTTTTCATAGAGTAGCTTCAAAAATGAGGAAAAACTTCTATTCTGGCTGGCTGGGAAGGAAAGGAAAGAAGACATCAATAAAAGCTAAAAGCGACAATAAAACAACTTATCTCCCATATTTACAATTCTCCCTGGGATTTCTGAATGGCCTTGGTTTCTTGTTTTCGTTTGGTGGGGTTTTTGTGGGATTTTTTGTTTTGTTTTGTTTTTCCTTTTGGTTGATTTTTTTTTTTATTTTTTTCATGACTGAAGAGAGACTTCAGAATTGATTTAACTTCTAGAAACATCGAGCACATTGTAGCAACATTAATTCTACCCGTTACCTTTCTGAACATTTCAGTGTTTAGGTTACAGTCTCTTACAAAAAAAACTTCCAAGTCATTTCATACCTTAGTAGAAGAACGAACCTGAGTTTAAGCATGATTTGTAAGTCCATGACTAAAATGAATATATAAAACTTGCACTAATAATGTAAGTTAACACACAGTAGCATCACGATGCAGAGATAAACGAGGCATTACAACTCGAAGAATCTGTGTTTTGTGCTGCAGTCATGCTTTTTCAAACTTCCTATCAAAGCCAGCAGAGCACAACCTAACAGGCACCTAATGCAACATAAAACAACAAACCACATTATTTACGCAAGGCAAGACATGCAAGCCCAGACAAGTAATTTACAAAAAACTTCACCTCGGCCAACTTCAACAGAAATCAGAGAACCACATTTAGCCTGGAATTCCATTATCCTGAACACATGACTCACATTAGATACACAGGGTTTCAAATACACACTACTACAGAATTATTACTGGCTGGACAGAGAAAGAAAAGGACAGAGGAGATGGCAGAGTTAAATGGGCAGTTTCATGACAGGGAGGGAGCTCTTGTTTGCTCTTTGAGGTTTATTGGTAGGTGTCTCTTATGTAATAGTGTTACCATAATACCATTTAAAACACGTTAACTGTCCTTTAGGAGATGCTGGGACTTGCTTCTTTCACAAGAGTTTTAACAATGGGTTAGAGTCACATTTACTCTTCCTTTTCCTCTTTTCATCTAAAAAAAAAAAAGATTTATCTTATGCAAGGCAGCATAGAGTTAACAGGAAGAACGTAGAGATCCAGAAGAAATCCCTTGTAAGGATTCATGTCCAACAAGTGCACAAAGGAAACAAGTCCATTCAGCCTTCCAGGGGAGCGGGCTCATTTTAACTTGGAAGATTTCCACCACCTGTATTCTAAATGAACAAGCTGTATGGTGCATGCAGCTCAAATCACCAGCCATCCAGGTGAGTCTCTAGAGACCCTAACAGACATCTGATGCATAGGGTCTAGAAGGATTTGAGTGACAGGAAGAAAGAGCCTTGTAAAATTGCAGAACACACACATCTGTAGGGCTAGGCTGAAAAGGAAAACAGCAAGATTAAAAATAACAACACCAGGGTCTGTTAAGAACTCAGCGTCTTCTTGTACTCAGAAAGACACCCTTCTTTTCTGGATCTGGGTCATGCCACCTAGGATAAGGTATGTAAATGGATGCAGACTGAAAGCGTGGCCAGTAAAGTTGTTTGCTTTACTTTAAGTGTTGTATCCAACTGATAATGTTATGTGTTGCCTAAAAATTAATAACCCCAGACTGCATGAGCTGCTGAAACCTCAAAGCAGATGCTACTTTGCTGTGCCATTATGGAATTGTTAGAGCTGTTTCACTACTTTACGTTACACTACGTAATTCAGAATAAAACACAGTGGCTGATGCCAGAGTACTTGTACTTTACAGAAATCCTACAAACATCTCTTTCTTTTTCCTCGAAAAGCCAAATTCTGTAGTTTCAGTAAAATTAGCAAATGAAAGTTTTCTATTTAAAACAGCATCAGTCCTTTAATATACCCTTCAGCTCCACAAATACCATTTCTGCACATTGTTCTAACTGAACCTTATCCTTACCGGCCATACCAACCACATGAGAATCCATTTTGCCACCACTGAATTTAAATCATACTTGCAGGACAATGGTGGTAAGGCATGTGTAAACTGAGCCTTAACTTGCTTCCACATGCAAACAGATACACCACTGTGGATGACTTGCACTGCCTCTGCGTAGCCTACACACGAGCTGAGCACATACAATTCAAGAGAAGAAAATATGCACACTTCATTGAATTTACAGACGTACGTTTGTAAAGCATCTATTCCTCTTTTGCCCCAAACTTAATCTCCTATTTAACCCACTTCTACAGAAGCTCCCAAATTCACATCTCTGGGGCTTCATTTGCTGGGATAAATTTACTACCAACAGCTACCTGGTTATCTGCAGAAAGTTTCCCTTATTCAAAAAAGCAGCTTCC